TACATTGATGAAAACACCAATCCCCCTCCAAAAAATGAAGCAGACAACCTTCTCCGGTGGAACAGACAGGATCGTCTGTTGCGGCATGCCTTGATCTCATCTCACAGCTCAGCTTGCAAGCCCCTGGTTGGATCTTCCAAGACCTCTGCCGCCGTATGGAAGACCCTGGAGCGTCTATACGGGACTCGGTCAGCCTCCAAAATCCGAAGTCTCAAAGATCAGTTCCGCCATATGAAACAAGGCTCCGAACCTGTCAGCGAATACCTTCATCACCTTCGCACACTTGCGGATGAACTTGCCATGGCCAGCTGACCAGTTGACGACAAAGACTTTGCCATTCAAGCCCGGAAGGTCTTCGTCCCGAGTTTGAAGCTATGGAGAATTCCATTCGTCCAGATGAGGTTACATTTGAAGATCTGCATTCGCTACTCGTTGGCTTCGAAGATAAGATGCGCAGGAAAGAAGCCTTGAATCCCACCACTGCCGTCGTAACTGCGAAAGCAGCTGTTATCGAAGAGAAGAGTGAGGGTAGCGTTTCCGCAGCTATGGTCGTTCGTAGGACTCCTGATCAACGCACCTCTATTTTAGGCCCCGGTCCATCAACCCAAGTCCAGAATCTACCCAGCAGGCCCAATACTCATATTCAAAATTTTGGCAGAAGTTAGAATAGATGTCAACGACCCAACAACAATTTTTACAATTCCATTCGGCGCGGAAACAGTAATCCCGGGGGCATCAATAATCACCTGGGCGGGCGTACCAATTTTGGGGTTAATACCAGGTCAAGTTCGGTTATTATATGTCAAATTTGTGGCAAACCGAACCATTTGGTTATTAATGGTTGGCACAGGTTTGAACAACAAAATCACCCGCCCCAAGCCAATACTGCCACGACCAGAAAAAATGGATGGTTACTCGATTCAGGGGCAACTAATCATGTCACCAATAATTTAAATAACCTCACCTTGGCGTCCAATTACATTGGCACAGACTCCCTCATTATTGGTAACAGTAAAAGTCTTGCGATTGCACAAGTTAGAAATATGACCCTTCATTCTCTTTCCTTACCTAATACTCTATTTGTCCCTTCTATTCATACTAACTTAATTTTTGTCGCAAAATTATGTCGTGATAATGATGTACTAATCGAATTTCACCCTTCCTTTTGTCTTGTTAAGGACCGGAAAACGGGAGCAATTTTGCTACGGGGTATGAATAACGGGGACGTCTACAGCTTGCCTGATGTTTCAGTTCCTGCGTCTCCAAGTGTTAACATTACTACAAAATTTTCTCTAAATAAATGGCATTGTCGTTTAGGACATCCTGCCCTTCCCATCACTCAAAAAATTATTTCCTCATTAGGTATTAATTTTAAAGATGTCAGTAAGGATCTATCTCTTTGCACTTCGTGTGCGAGTAATAAAAGCCACCCGTTACCTTTTGCTAAATTTTCTCTTTCTACTTCTAGTCCTCTTGACTTAATTTATACAGATGTTTGAGGTCCTTCTCGTATTAGTTCTGTAGATGGTTTCCGTTACTATGTTATTTTTGTTGACCACTACACAAAATACATTTGGTTTTACACTCTCACCCACAAATCCGAGGTAACCCCAATTTTTCAACAATTTAAACAAATTGTAGAAAACTTTTTTCAAAAATCCATTAAAACGGTTTACTCGGATGGAAGAGGTGAATATATTTCTCTAGGGAAATTCCTGGCCTCCAGTGGCATTTCTCACTTACTTATTCCTCCATATACCCCTGAACATAATGGCTTTGTTGAACGCTGACATAGGCATATTGTAGAAACAGGGATTACTTTACTTCACCATGCTTCTATGCCACTTAAATATTGGTCATACGCCTTTGTAACTGCTGTTTATTTAATTAATAGACAACCGACAGCTTCTCTAGGTTTTTGTACTCCCTATGAAAAACTTTTTCAAAAACCTCCTAACTACACCAAACTTGCTATTTTCGGGTGTCAGTGTTTTCCTCGGCTTCATCCTTACATGGCCCATAAGTTAGAACCACGGTCCCGACCTTGTATTTTCCTTGGCTATTGTGACCAACAAAGTGCTTATTCCTGCCTTGATCCTACTTCTAATTAGATCTTTATTAGTCGGCATGTGGTGTTCAATGAGTCTGTCTTTCCTTTTTCTAACAGTCCAACAACTGTTGCAAATATGTCCATTGAAATTGATAATTGGCTTCAGCCACTTATTTCATATCTCCATATTTCAGGTACATCACTAGCAAAGACGTCTCCTGTTACTCATACCTCGGCACAACAAGACTGCCCTAATATGTCTAACTCCACCTCATTTCAACCTCCTACCAACCCAACCGCCTCTCACCCACCTGTTCTTGTCACTTACCAACGCCGGCCCAAACAAAAACCAACTACTCCATCCTTGCCAATTACACCCAACACCACCACCTCAACAGTTATTCCCACTACCAATAGTTCTGTATCGTCTTTGGATCACCATCATGATCCACACCCCTCCCCTCACAAACGCACCCACCCAATGACCCTTCGTCATCGTAAGCAAGCTAATGTTGTTACCCAATCATCATTACCTCATCATATTATTCCTACTTGTGCTTCTCAAGCTTTACAGGTGCCTGAATGGAGAGAGGCTATATGTGTGGAATTTGACGCCTTGGTTCAACAGGGAACTGGAGCTCTCCAAGAGGAAGTTTACATGAAACAACCTCCTGGTTTCAATGATGGCTTTGGGAGAGTATGTCGCCTTAAGAAATCCATCTACGGGCTTAAACAAGCTACTCGAGTGTGGTATCAGTCTCTCAGTGGATTTCTTTTATCCCTTGGTTTTCATCAATCCGTTTCTGATGCCAGTCTCTTCATATTTTCTTCTTATCCCTCTTATATCTATGTGTTAATATATGTGGATGATATTGTTGTCACTGGCTCTACACCAGCTTTAATTCATCGGATTATTAACTTATTGACACATAAGTTCTCCAGTAAGGATTTAGGATCCTTACATTATTTTTTGGGTATCCAGGTCACCCCTACACAAGATGGTATTTTTCTTGATCAACACAAGTACATTACAGATTTATTACAAGTGCTGAATATGCATGAGGCTAATCCAGGATCCACACCTCTAGCATCTTCAACTTCCTTGACTCTGTTTGATAGTTCGGGTTCTTGTGATGCAACTCTCTATCGGGCAGGTCATTGGCTCCCTTTAGTATTTAAACCTCATTAGGCCTTTGCCATCAACAAGCTAGCTCAGTTTGTGCACAAACCTACGGTGAATCATTGGCAACTCATGAAACGCCTCTTGCGTTATCTTCAAGGAACTGCCTCTCATGGTTTATATTTCCGACAGAGTTCTTCCCTTTCCTTATGTGCTTATGCTGATGCAGATTGGGAAGGGAATCCCGATGACCGCTCCTCTACCAACGCCTATACTATTTTTTCGGAGTCACTTATTTCCTGGATTCAATATTTTTTGGCTTAAGATTATGATGGAATAAAGCAAAATAGCTCACTAAACTGTCTGCGCTTCTTTGTTATGGAGCAGCAGTCAGTCCATGCAATTTTGGACACGATGTTCACTATAGGTCATCCGGAAAAACTCTCTGTGCTTTAGTACAGGGGTAAGACTGCGTACATCCAACCCTCCCTTACCCCACCGTAGGTGGGAGCCTTTGCGGCACTGGGGTAAATGAAAATGATGATGAGTCACTTATTTCCTGGAAATCATCTAAGCAACGAACAATTGCCAAATCCTCTACCGGAGCAGAGTATCGGGCTCTTTCTACTGCTGCATCCGAAACACTCTGGATTGAGTCACTTCTTCATGAGCTCCGCCATTCACCTACTTCCCCTCTGGTTCTTCTATGTGATAATAAAGGCGCTACCACCTCTTCTGCCAATCCTGTATTTCATTCCCGCATGAAGCATGTTGCCATTGATTTCCATTTTGTCCGTCAACGTGTGCAACGTGGTCTTCTTCGAGTCCTTCATATCCCCTCACATGATCAACTAGCTGACATTCTCACCAAACCCCTTTCACGACAACGGTTTGTTTTTCTACGTGACAAGCTCAGGATTCTCAGCACTGATAGAATACCTGGCTTGTGGGGGCATATAGAAGAGTCTAGACAGCTCCAGAGAACCGTTACACAAGCTACACAATAAATTAAATATATTTGTATTTAATATTATAAATCGGTTACAATCTTTGTATTTAATATTATTATTATAAGCCTACCTTATTAGTCTCTAAAAGGTTGTATAAATAGGATATCATATTATGGAATGAATTATGCTTTTCAGTCCCAATCTATTTCTACTCTAAAATCTAATAACGCCGAGGTAGAGATATAAGGTCTCTCCTTTTTCCGGTTTTGAAAGGATCGGAGTGGAAACCACGTATTGCTTCAGGCTGTCAAAGGCTTGTTGGCATTCGGTTGTCCACTAGAATTTGGCGGGCTTTATCATGATTTTAAAGGAACCGGTTGAGAGCAGCCAGTTTGCTTGTTAGCCTTTGGACCTCTTTGACATTTCTGGAGGCTCCATCTGAATAATATAGAGGGTGTAGGGTAAAATGAAAAAGTCAGAAAGATAATATATTAAGAAGAAGAAAGTAATGAAAAAGTAAGAAAGAGAAAGTAGTTTGTAAAAAGTAAAAAATGTAAGAGTAATAAAAGTGAGAGTATAAATGTATTTTAATAGTAGTAGACAGAAAAATTCAAATCCTTGTGAGGATAAATCTATCCTTGCATTATGTAAACCAGTAGGTCTTGTATGATAGAGAAAAATAGCAATTAGCCCAATTTTTCTCTTATTTCCAACATATTTCACCATGGAGAGATGACATACATTGTGTTTTTCTATCAATCCAAACAACAATTTTTTTGAGTGTGCGCTGATGGTGACAAAAATTTTGATTTTGGGACACTCAATGCCAATAGCAGTATATGGATATGATAATATTATGGATATGATAATATTATGGCAGGCCTTTGTTAATCTTGTACTCACATTGTGCGATGCGGGCGATTCGGTTGTTATGTTTGCACCCTACTACTTCAATGCATACATGTCATTCCAAATGACTGGCATTACTGATATTCTTGTGGGCCCCGGTCATCCCAAGACACTTCATCCCGATGCAGGTTTGTATGTACCATTATAAAATGGATCACTGAGATTGAACTACGATGATTAATTATCGTTTTGTTTTGCTGAAGTGTCCTTACCATATTTGTTGATAAAACGAAGAGACATCATTAATCTAGGATTTATTTTCCTTATTATTACTGTAATTATGTGTCTTTAGTGCTTCAGGTTGTATTTAATAGCCGTTGTCTTTTCAGTTCTCAATCATTTATGTTTAGTATTTAGACAGTCACCTAGGGTACTGAATAGACTCTCTCAGGATTCCTATTTGTATAAATAGCTTCTGTACTTCTTGTAAATGAATTCATGGAAATAGTATTCAGAAAACTTCAATATTAATAATGATTAATGGCCATTGAAAGAAAAATTATTTTCATGAACACTCTGGTGTAAAAAGGCTTTTAGTGTTTGGTACACCTGTACATATTGTTGTAAAAAATCTCGTTTGTCTGAGATTAGTTTTCACTTAGGCGCGTTATGTGATGTTTGCTTCCCGCCTTTGGCACTGCTGGATGATGGCTTTACTGACTTGGGGGTACGCAAAACTGAGGGAGAGCCGAGAATAATCATAGTGTAAGTCGAGTGAGAAATTTGGCAGAGTAACAATAAGCTAGAGGATTAGAGTTGATCCTTTCCACAAGTTGGAAGGTGATATTTATAGTCGTCCTCATCATCATCATCATCATTACCCCTTTGCCGCAAAGGCTCCCACCTACGATGGGGTAAGGGGTGACATTTATAATGTAAAAGAAAGTACTTGGTGATAAAGTAAAATCACTGTCCCACTAGTCTATTGATACGTTGTTGGGGTAATTGGCCCAGCACAAGATAGGCCTAATACCCCTGCGGGTAAGTCAATCCAGAAATTAGGCCTGACAATATCACCCGTGCCCGCGGATACCCGGTCAACCCGAACCGAAATTATGGACGAAAACCCGAAGAAATATGGATGAAAAATGGATGACGGGTGGATTGAAAGACGGGTTGGATCGGGTGTGGATGAACACTCATCCAATCCATCACCCGACCCGTCACCCGCTCCATCCACCCGCACCCGCTGACCCGCATATAAATATATATACATATATTATAATATCTATTTAATAATATATTAATAATATTAATAATAATAATAGTACTACTACTACTAATAATAATAATAATTAATATTAATATATTAACAGATACTATGTAACTACGAAGTAGCATTGTAGCGACTAAAATAGGAGCCCAACCCTAATCCCGTTGAACTTCAAAAATAGTTTTGTGTTATGCAGAAATGTAGAATTGATAACTTGAAGAATTTTTTTATCATTGGCAGTGAATTAACGATTGTAATATACTTAATTGCTCAAGTTTTTGTAGTTATTTTTCAATGAGTTCTTAATTTTTGTCATGATTTCTCTTTATAATTTATTTATTTTGTCTTTCAAGTTTGACCTTTTGTATTCACCCGTTATTCACCCGATTCACCCGATAATCCGTTCATGATGGATGGGTTGGATGTGGATGTAAATTTTAATTGATGATGGACGGGTGGGTGGACTATGATAAATTAACGGGTGGACGACGGATGAGCCTTCACCCGGTATAAATCCGACCCGCTTCCACCCCTACCAGAAATCTGTTAAGGCCCTAGGGCCGCACGATATGAGATCCTTGAATAAATCATCTAGGCCATCGTTGGGAGGATCTCAGTCGGCCGCCTCAGAGTAATTGGTGGGAAAGCAAGGATTTTGGCGGGGAGTGCATTTAATCCTGAGTTGGGGGATAGCTACTCAGGATTCGTCACGCTACCACCACCGACCCCATGGTAGTAAAATAGAACCATTTATTTCATTGTAAAGGGTTGGCAACTTGTATTCAATAGCTTTAGCTCTTCTCTCTACATCTTCTGTAATCTCAGCTTAAAATAGAGGCTCGATGCTCGACTCGGTAGGGTGTGTTGTACTCATTCTAAGTCTTTACAAAACAGTTAACTAATCCATTAAAATATACCTAATCCATCAATATCCTACGAAAGCCTAAGGGAGGGTGATGGGGCCTTCAGGGAGGGTGTTGAGCCTTTGGACCGAGAGAAATAAACTTCAACACTGCATAAATCCCACGAGACTGTAGGCGGCCTGGTCTATAATGGGGTTGGAGACCCAAAGGCCCACCTGCTCAACTTCCAGGATGGACTCATGTTGTTGGGCACATCCGATGACACAATCTGCCGGTTGTTCTTCAGCTCCCTTCAGGGCCCAACACAAGAATGGTTCGGTCAGCTACGGCCTGGAACCGTCGATAGTTTCGATGAATTGTCCAAATAGTTCTTGGCTCAATTCGCTTCAAGCATAACCCTGAAGAGGCATTTCAGCTACTTCACAAGCGTCCAACGGAGTGCTGGGGAAATTCTCTCCAAGTTTTTCGTGCGCTGGAGGGACGAGATGCTGAAGGTGGAGAACCTCACGGAATCAATGGGATCATCCTCTTCACTCATGCACTCTTGATAACGGACCTTTACCGCGATATGAAAAGAGATCCAGGAACTAGCTACGCTGAAGTTCTGGCCCGTGCGCAAAGACTGTTCAAACGTTTGACATCCAATCTATTTCTTTTCTTTGGATGAATCTATAGCATTTTAATAATCAGGATTTAAAATTTATTAGATACTAAAATAAGTGATCTAAATATAGAATCCTGATGGTTAATCTTTGCAAATCATGATCACGATCACGATCACGATCACGACGACGATCACGATGACGACGACGATGACGACGATGATGTCTATACCAGACTAGTTTCTTCGATCTGCATGGCCGTTGCTGGCTCAGATCCAGTCATAGCATGCAACGATTAGGCCATGTCAGTTACAAGTGTGTGAATTGTCTCCCTCCCTCGTCGTCAAAGATCTCTAATGCAAAGAGCTGCTGCAACAGTGTCCGTGGACATATTGTTTCTCACAATGATAACAGACATTTGGCTTGACAGCTGTCCGCCGGCTTTAGAAATACAAAGACCCCGAGGAGTCAGTTGGCTCCATTCAACTGTCTGCCCAGGCTTGGAAGTCATGTGATTGCTCACAGGCACTATGGCTGGTGGACGCTGTCTTGCCTGGAGTCACTTGGAGTCAATGGGGTGTGACTGGGAGCGCTGCCACCGTTAGTTGTGTGTGATCAATTTGTCTAGCCAGGCTGATCGTGATGTCCAAGCTTAGGAACTCAAGTTTTTTAAATGGATTTCCTGACAAACTCCTTCCATGAATGTGTTGACCTCGAATTGAATTGGTTAAATTGCGTTTAAATCGAATTGCATTTTTACCGTGACAGTAGTTGCTGGAACGAACTAATGTTGAAATATCCACGATTCTGATTTGTTGAGTTGAAAAAGATCACTTGTAGGGTTGGAGTTTAATGGAGGTACGACTCAGAGATGACGATTCTTAGAGAGTTAGAGTTTTCCACCAGATACTTGATTAGAGTTTATCAGCCCAGAGTTGAGCACCCACCATATACAAAGTAGCTAACCCAACTCGTGCTATGGAAGCCGTTTGCTAATGTGCAAAGAAGCATTCACAATGTTTCATACTTCAGCCAATTGAGGGTTGCGTGTACTGTCTTACAACAACAACAACAACAACATAACCCTAGTGCCGCAAAGGCTCCTACTTATGGTGGGGTAGGGGGGATCGGATGTACACAGTCTTACCCCTTATACTAAAGCATAGAGAGACAGTTTCCGAATAACCTATGATGAAAATCGTGTAATATAAACAAACAATAACAATCAACGGAAATAACCGTTGCCAGAGCTTGAGAGCTTAAACACACAAATTCTTATTTAATAAAGCATAGTTTGAAATAACCCTCTTGAGGGGATTAAATAGACTACAAGTCCTAATTAAAGAAAAACTCCAAAATAACATAAACTAGGAAATAAACTGGAATTAGGAAACTTATTAAAAAAACAATACTAATTAATTAATTAATAAACAATCCAATTAATTCTTCCAGCCAGCCTAACCCACGGATGTGGGCTTTTCCCGATCCCGCCTGCGATACACGATCCAAGGCCTGGGGCCTTCGTCTTCCTCGGTCGCACTCGACTGTCTTTCTTCTTCCTCGGTCGAGCGAGCCTGCTCGCTATCATCGTGTCGAAAATAGCATGGAGTGACTGCTACATAACAAAGAAGCGCATACAGTTTAGTGAACTATTTTGCTTTATTCCATCATATTCCCAAATCAAAAAATATGATGGAAGTTAGGTTCTTGGTTGTTCTGGTTCCACCAACTGAATGAACTGATCATAAGATTAGTTATTCGCTTATTGCAATTGCTGAACATCTTATTTCAACTAATAAGTCTTATATAGGCAAAAGACCAAGTCTTAAAATAGAACTAAGGAAGTTGGATAAAAGAAAACAATTGGTGCACACGACCGAAATGCCCCCTATCATATAGGACCGGGGGCATTTCTGGAAACAACTAGGACTCCATTAGGCCACCTTTTGTGCAAATGTGGTACACATGACCAAAATGCCAGGTATCATATAGTACCCAGTCTGCCTCATAGTAAGCGCCTAACATTTTTTTAGGTTGAGGTTAGGGTAAAAAAGAAGACTTTCATCAATCAACCAACATGATTAATTGATTACTGAAGATTTGAATCTTGCAAGAACAACCACCCTGTCAAATGCAACACGAAACAATGAGTGTTTCATGGAACCGATGTTATCAATTTATCATTATTAGTTAGATTTGTTATCATACTTCTAAACACAGCAGTATGATTATTACCTAGATTTGATGAGAACATGAAGCCACTCTCCTTCCAAGGTTTTGAAAGGAGAAATCGGGCTTGAGGTGGAAGCTAAAAAATCAAAGCGTAATCCTCGAATTGGCTTTTAGCAAAAGGAGACTCCATCCTCTACGACCAGCTATCCAGCTTAAGCCATGCTTCTGCGTCCCAATCAGTAACATCCAAAACTTGTAAACAGCGCGTAGCGATTTTAACTATTATTGGTTTACCCTCACTATAAGTCACTTTTCCATAAGATATTTTAGGCACAAAACTAAATAAGCAAGACTTCTACCTATTAGGGTTTCAGGTTCTATTATAAAAGTTCTATCTTATAAGGTAAACAATCCAAGACTTCATATTTTAATTTAACATAATATTATTGTGATGTATGCATTTTATGAGGTTTCTTAGTCATCATCCTTCAGATTGGTTAGAGATGACTCTGAAGAGTACTAATGCACCAACTCCTAAGCTTGTTACTGTTGTAAATCCTGGCAATCCTTCTGGTACCTACATTCCAGAGTCTCTGCTCACGGTCGGTCGACCTGGTTCTATCTAGGTCCTTGAGATTTGCTTATTTAAAATTTGATGAAGGATACAATTTAAAGGTCTTTTTATTTGATAATAATGTGTAGAGGATATCAGATCTATGCAAACAAGCAGGCTGTTGGCTCTTGGTTGACAATACTTATGAGTAAGTATGTGCTAATTTTATCGCTCTGCAGTGCTCTATGACTGGTGCTTGTTTGTTTTTAATTTCAGGATGTTGATGACTTTTTACATTGACTCAAATGTTGGTTTTCCAAAAATTTAATATTGCAAATTCAATATCTTTGGCATGCCATATCTTTGTTGCATTTGACAAAGATTCTATTGGCTGGGTTCTTATTTTCTGCTTTCTTTGGCGTGCCATATCTTTGTGTTTTAGGCTCCGTTGTTTTGTTTCCAGGAAAACTTTTTTAGATTTTATGATTTTCCAGGGTTTGCTGAAATTATATCCTGGGTGTAATTCCTGGAAGCCATTTGTTTCCAAGAATATAAGATTTTACTGTAACAGTTTTATGTTTCATATTTTTGTTCCTCAAACATGATATAATACGCAGCACCAAAGTTGTAATGATCTCGATTGAAATCGTACAATTTTATGATTCTACAGTAATAAATCGATTTGAATCGTAAATAGAATCGTACAAAATCTTTTAAAATCACGTAAAATCGAAGTACAATCGTAACAAAATCGTAGTGATGGATTTTTAATGAAACTAGTTCGAAATTATTAAAATTAACTATTCATTTTTTGGTATATAGTTTCAATAGTAGTAAGATCAATAATAGTTTAGTGAACGTAATGGATACTTGTATTATTTTTGTGCTTTATATATGTTTAATGTTTATTATTCGCTCCATTCACATTTTTTTACCCCGGGGGGTCAGGGGCTGGGGGGGGGGGGCTGGGGTAAACTGGGATCAAACTCACTCCAAACGCGGGACCTCCCATAAGGGAGAGTGAGTCGGCGACCAGCTGAGCTGGACCGCTTCCTGTCACTCCATTCACATTATAAAAATAATTTATGAATTTTGTTTATGACCTCATATGTATGTTTATGACCTTATAAAAATATTTAACAACCTTGTGCAACGCTCCTTAAGAGAAATATTTTCGCATAAAAGTTGGTTTCTTGGAAAGAAACGGAGCCTTCGTGTTGAATTGATCATCCCAAATTAATGTGATGATTTAAGCATAGATGCAAAATTTTACATTGCCTCTGTTACAACCTAATAAATAAAATCTGTTGCTGTTAAAAAAGCCAATCGTGCATATGATAAAACCTCAAAGAGTGTTTCTGTGAAGTCATTGTTAACGTGTTGTCATGTTCTCCTATTTTCCAGGTATTTTATGTATGATGGTAGGAAACATGTCTGCCTTGAGGGCAATCACATTGTCAACATATTTTCCTTCTCTAAAGCTTATGGGATGATGGGATGGCGTGTTGGATATGTAAGTGATTACACCTCCTCATAAATGTATTACTCAGTTTTGCTACACATTTTTGTCACGGTATTTATTAGTTCATATCATTAGCCTTTCCATCCTTGATTGTTGTACCTGATTCTGGCAGTAGTTCTAACTAACTTTGTTATAAATTGACAAACGTACCCCTATTGATTTATAGAAATTAAAAAGCAATAAGCAAAAGTGAAATAAATATGTGAGTGTAACTTACTCATTTTTCACTTTATTAGTTTGTTAAAAGAGAAGTAATTTGTGAGCGGAATATTTTTAGTCGATGTACATATGTTTGAGTACGAAGGTTTCTTTCCGAATGCTACAGTAGTACAAACAATATAGCAAAAAATGACGCGGTTATTATTACATCAAAGAAAAAGGAACTTTTTTAGTCCTCGGATAACTGTCTCTCCAATTCCAATCCCCCATTTATTAATAGGGCTTCAAAGGTGACTATAAAAGCTACTCTGAAAAGAATGTGAGGACTGAAAACAGAGATATTCTAAGAATGGTATAACTTTGAGGCAGAGGAGTCATTTTTCCTATAACAAATATCTATCATTTCTCCTTGACTGACATACTCTCGATTTTTGTTCAGTGTTCTCGGATAGTTTTTCTTTGGGCAAAATAATTTAAATACCCTAAACTATAATGGGGTGTGAGATAAGTACCGCAAACTTGCATATGTAATATATATACCTCAATCTTTATATAAAAAGTTATTTTCGCACCATGATTGTATGTTTTTTTACAAATACAATTTTATTGGAATAGTTACGTAATTTCAAAATACTCTAAGCTTTGCTACAATGCAATTAACATTCTAAAATTTCATTTGTGAAATAAATAACATTACATCCGGTACAATTTAATTTTATTTGCTTTCTCAAAATGTTTTGTATGTTTTACATTATGTACTTAACACCATAGATTACATTGGTGAAAAGATATATGACCATGGTGCTAACATAACTTTTATATAAAGTTTGGGGTTTATAACAATATATATTACATGTGCTAGTTTGGGGTAATTATCTCACGCACATTCAAAGTTTGAGATATTTAAATTATTTTCCCATTTTTCTTTTGGGTGATAAGTGAAAGATAAACATGTTTCATTTCATCAATGCCAGATAGCATACCCTTCAGAAGTTGAAGGACTTGGCGAACAACTCCTCAAAGTCCAAGACAACATACCCATATGCGCATCCATAATATCACAACAACTGGCACTTCACTCTTTGGAAGCGGGGCCCGAGTGGGTAACCAATCAAGTAGAGAATCTGGTGAAAAACCGGGCCTTACTGATGGAAGCGCTATCTCCTTTGGGTGAGGAAGCGGTCAAAGGGGGGGAAGGCGCAATCTACCTGTGGGCAAAGCTTCCGGACAAACATGTTGATCACGACTTTGAGGTTGTCCGTTGGCTAGCAGGAAGGCACAAGGTGGCGTTGATCCCGGGAAGTTCCAGTGGCTGTCCCGGTTACGTTAGGGTCTCGTTTGGAGGGTTGAAGGAAGACGACTGTCGAACTGCCTCTCAGCGCTTGAGAAGGGGGCTTGAAGAACTTGTGGCTTGCGGAATGATTTCTTGATTTTTACTCCCCTCCGGGGGTTCTCATTAATTAATTGCTTCCCAATGCCAAATATTACTCCCCACCTTTTATACCACAATAAGTAAAAGCACAAAACCCTCGCAACAACAACGGTTCCTGAGCGAGTTCATCCTTTGTTTGGGATCTAACAACTTTATTTGCAATAAGAGCAAACTTGTATTCAATGAAAGTGGTGCTTTCAAAGCTGTTGATTCATATTGCATGTGTTTAGCATGTTCTTCTTTTGCCATTGTTTACATCGACTAGTTGATTTCCCTATCTTTGTTCACTTGCATATCTTTGGCCTTCCAAAACTTAATTCCTATATAGTGCTATGGATACATGGAGAGTGATGTCATTTAATCCACAGGCCAGACATGGATTCAGACTCGGTTCTGGTTAGTCAATATTGAAGCCCGGAACCGACCCTGATTTTACAGGTCCCAGGCTGGCCTAGGCATGGACCCAACCGGGTCGAACCGGACCGAAACCAGCCCGGCCCGTTGCTAAATGGGCCCGGCCCGGAACCGGCCCGGTCCGTTACTAAACGGGCCCGGACCGGAACCGGACCGGCCCGTTACTAAACAGGCCCGGACCGGACCGGACCCGGATGGTCGGTTCCGGACTTTAGCCCGGGTTGGGCGGGTCTGGGCGTTTGGTGGGCAGGTTACGGGCCCCCATTTTGTTGAACCGGATTGGCCGGTTCGGGCCGGTTCCGGGACTTTTTTTTTTAATTTTTTTTCTTTTCCTAGGGTAGGGATGGGTGTTTTGGTGAGGTTTGGGGGTGGGGGGGGGGTCGGGGGATAACAAGAAAGCCAAAAAAAAAATTAAACATTGAATCGGTCTCGGCTCGGCCCGGCCCGGTTAGGCTCGGACCTGGTATCAATCCGGGCTGGTTCTGGGCCCAAGTGAATAGAAAAAAAGCCCGCCCGGGCCCGGACCGGAACAGGAACCGGACCGGCCCGGGTCCATCCCTAGGCTAGGGGTGGACTCGGGTCCGGGCCGGGTCCGGGTCGGGCCTAGGCCCGGGCGGGCCGGATGTTCAAGAATGGTGGACTCGGGACCGGCCCGGGTAGCCACCGGGTCCGGTCCGGGTCCGGGCCGGGCCGGGCCTCCGGTTTGGATTTTTTTTTTTGCTTTCCTAACCCCCCTCACCCCCACCCTCCCAAACCCCCCCAAACCCATCCTACCCATCAAGCCCAACCCGGGTGGAACCCCAAAAATGAAAAAAAATAAAAAAAATTCAATTCGGCCCGGGCCCGACCCGGCCGGGCCGGTTCACCAAAATTGAGACCCGAGCCCGGACTCGCCCTACCCCTCGGGCCTAGGCCCGACCCGGACCCGGACCCCAGAACCGGGCTGGTCCTGGTCCCGCACAGTAGCGGGCCGGGCCGGTCCCGGTCCTGCACAGTAGCGGGCCGGGCCGGGCCGGTCCCGCACAGTAGCGGGCCGGTCCCGGTCCCGCACAGTAGCGGGCCGGGCCGGTCCACGGGCTGGGTGGCCCGACCCGAGTCCAAGCCTACCCTAGGCCGGTCCCAGGCCGATTTGGGTGGTTTCGAGTTTTTTTTAATCTAGTAATATAAATAATAAATGCTACACATTAAAAATGAAATGTAGATTTTATTTGAAAAACACTAAATTATCTTAGAGTATTACACATTTATAGATTACAATTGAGAATGGTTTAGATATAATTCCTAATCGTTGGAACTCTCGCAAGTTCTATGACAGGCCCTTCAATTAATCATGCAAGCAAATCAGTGTCTCAAAAGATTGAGCGCTCAACCTTGTTCTATAATCGGTTAGGACTTTGTCAGCTTCGCTAAACTCTTGTTCTATGATAACAGTTGAAATCAACATTTGTTAGGTCTCTATTTGCTTTGTAAAAAAACTACATAAGGAAGCTCTCAAATATGAAGAAGAAAGGCTTTCATAGATAAAGAAAGTTTACAGAATGATGAAGAACTTTAGCGTAAAATTTTATCTCCTCTCTCCAAATAATAGACGCATGGAATATCAAGTGAGGCGTGTGAAAGTTGTCCCATCCCATTCCCTTCAAGGCATATTTATAGCCTTGTGAATGGGTAGGTTATGAGACACAAATGATTGGGCCGTTGTTAAATAGGCTCAATATATATTCCTTGCACCTATTTTAGAACAATAATCACAATAAAATATCTAACATTGTTCCCCTTCGTGATCAGATGTCCTCATTTTAGTTTTTATTTATTTTTGTCTCTTGGAGTAGTTTCTCCTTTGTGCTAGAGCATGTTCGTATTGGCGCAACAACCTTCGTTTATTGAGTTGTGCATTGATTGCGTCTAGCACCTTGGTTATTCTTCCGAATTCATTTAGTTCTTCTTCAGTAGCGTCAACAAGTCTTTATTCAATTTCATTCTGTAGTGCAAGCAGTTTATCTCGGATGATCTTCAGTGTCCCGTCACAAAATTCTTAAGGCCGCGGGCTTTCAGTTCATCGAGCTTCTTGATTTTCTCAGGTTTTCCCCATATATGTTTTCTGATTTCCTCTTGGAAGGAGGTTGTGATGGTGATATTTTGCCAAGGTTTTTCATTTACCGATCGAAGAGTTCATGTTCTTCTAATGAACTTAGGTAACTCTGTCGGAGCTTGGTTGTAGGTCTCCCCTTCTTTGATTTCATCATCCACAAGCCCAATTAGATCTGCAACACATATGTTCAGTATCTCTAAAATGATACGTGACTTGCATGTCGTCTACTTCAACCTTAGCACTGAGTTCATTCCATTTTGCGTCTAGCACGTATTCTTCAAGTTGATCATGGATTGACAGAGCTGGAATGTATGACAGAGTTTGCTACTGTGGTGACCTGTGGAAAATAACTCCGAGATTACTAGGATTGCCTTTGATCATCAGATCAGAACTAGGTTCTAACTGATGCCTGAACATGTTGGTGATTTCGAAGTAGCAACTTCAGAAATTCCATTGTATCCTTAATCAACATCTATGAAAGATGAGCCTATGAGAGTTCTATCTGGCGTGACCACACCAGAGGTTATGCGCTAAGTGATGGTCCCTGGTGAGGTAAACGTCTAGAGTGGGGGTGAATAGACTTTTAAAACTTTTTCGGTTTATATTTCCCCCCCTCTTTTAGAGTTTATTCTAAACCTTTTGAGAAGTTATAGAATGCGTAGCGGAAGTCTTGACCTTAGTTAGAACGGTTGGATTACACATTTTATAAAAAGAATGACTTTCAATTTTTGACAAAGAGTTGCTTTAAGGATCTTTCTGTGAAGTTGGATATGAAAAGAGTTCTTTTAATGTTTGTGGAGAGCTGGAGGAAATAGTTGTCTTCACAAATCAAACTGAATGATTTGTTCACCAGCAGGCTGCCGCTAGAAAGCTATTGAGGCAGCTACCAAGTAACAAATATGAATTCTTTGTTTAAATGAAAACCAAACTTTCAGCATGTGTTAATGGAGTTCAAAAGGGATGTAAGAGACTCTTTAATGAGATGGTTTGTCACGCCCCGGACCTACCTGGACACGTCAACATCCCGCCGTACAGTATGAATAGTCAACCGCAGTTCAACTCATCCATACTATACAAGGCGTCTTGAATACCATTCACACATAGTACATCCATAAACAAACATAATGTAAAATATTCATTTAAAGCAGCGGAATCATTTAATACAAGTGTTCAAGCCACACTTGGCATAATTAGGCATACAAGCCCCCAAATCAATTATTCAAAAATAATATTCATGAACATTATTTAAATTGTTTTCAAAATAGAAACGGAAGAAGCACGAACCAAGTCTTCTTCCCTTGATCTCCCCGAAGCAACGGGCGGTGGTAGCAACCTTCAAGTTCTACCTGAAACTGTGAGGTGACCTCCCCCGTGAAGGGGAGGTCAGTACTTGGAAGCATTTGACAAGTACAATGACAACTATACCGAGTATAATCAACGCTTTAATTTCTAAGACCCTCAAGATAGGGTGATATCATAATATAAATAATAATTTATATTTCCCACTTATTATCTCTATAATAAGTAAATTCATTTATTTGTCGGCACACGACCCTTCTCATATATTCTTTGCATTTATCATTTGTACAACCCAACCCGTGGGTCATATTATTTCTACGGGATTTGCTACCGCTGTCGGAGACCTCATGAGGCTCTCGGTTCGGATTTCAACATCCCGCCCTTGGGCTCATACCCATCATCTTGTAGGAAGGTTAGGCCCTTCGGGGTCCTATCTTATGTGTTACCGCTACCGGAGCCTAGTTAGGTCTCCGATTCGGATTCCACCCTAACCCGTGATCACGATGCAAGTCCATGCTATCCAACCCCGCTCTCTAGAGTCGGGAAGGGCCATGGTCCTTACTTATTCCCATAATTCAACCGGCTATCCTCAAGGACAACCGAACACGCCCGTAGGCCAATCCTATACCTAGGATCAATTTATTATTCAATTTATCTTGGGTATCCCTTAAGGCCTACCCCTAGTATAACTTAAAGTTCATACTTTCCTACCTTAAAGCATCTCTTAAGACTACTTAAGGCATAATACTTCACAATCCAACCTTAGGATCAATTTTAATAAGATTTCATATTAATGTCCAACTGGTATATCAATACTAGTCCAATTGATTCCAACAAATCCAAGTTCCCTATTCATGGTCATTTATAGAATGCTCCACTGATTTTCCATTGAAAATATCATCATTATATCAATATACCAAAATATCCCTTTTAATCATTCATATATTCTTATATGAAGTAAAAAGTATATTTCAACATGCATTTCATAGTTAATTCCATTTTCAAGTCAACATACTCATAACACATGATCATACATAATTTATTTTTAAATTTGTATATCACACTCCTTTTCTCATAGACAATAATCTTCTCATTTTTAGGCATTATTAATCATTAATAATCAAGAAAAACACATTTAATTACCTTAGGTAATCTCATGAAATTAACTCACTAATTATAAGCAACATAGTCAGCCATCCTCACCTTATGAAGTGCTGAAGTAGTTGCCTTTGTTAAGTCCTTCGATCAATCCTCGTTCTAAATCTCTAAGAAGCTAAAACTGGACTGTCTGGACAAAAGCCGGCCGGCTTTGGCAAAAGCCGGGCGATGTTCGTCCTTCTGCAACACGAACAGCTTCCTATATGTGGCGGTTTCCGGTGATTTCGACCCCTAGCGATTCACCAACTCTTCTAAGTTAATTAACACCACTTTATAACAATAAAAACGTGTGGTGGCCCCCACTCATGTGGGAGGTCATCCCATTGTGTCCCGATGTGTATAATCGGCCCC